ACCCAAGATATGATCTATCCTGGAGAATGTTCCATGAGCACTTGAGAACAAAGTGTATTCTGTTGGTTTTGGATGGAATGTCCTATAAATATCAACTAAGTCCATCTTGTTTAATGTGTCATTTAAAGCTTGTGTTTCCTTATTTATTTTCATTTCAGATGATCTGTCCATTGGTGAAAGCAGGGTGTTGAAGTCCCCTACTATTATTGTGTTACTATTTCCCCTTTTATGGATGTTAGCATTTGCCTTATATATTGAGGTACTCCTATGTTGGGTGCATAAATATTTACAGTTGTTATATCTTCTTCTTGTATTGATCCCTTGATCATTACGTAGTGTCCTTCTTTGTCTCTTGTAATAGTCTTTATTTTAAAGTCTATTTTGTCTGATATGAGAATTGCTCCTCCAGCTTTCTTTTGATTTCCATTTGCATGGAATATCTTTTTCCATCCCCTCACTTTCAGTCTGTATGTGTCCCTAGGTCTGAAGTGGGTCTCTTGTAGACAGCATATATACAGGTCTTGTTGTATCCATTCAGCCAGTCTATGTCTTTTGGTTGGAGCATTTAATCCATTTACATTGAAGGTAATTATTGATATGTATGTTCCTATGACCATTTTCTTAATTGTTATGGGTTTGTTTTTGTAGGTCTCTTCCTTGTCTTGTGTTTCCTGCCTAGAGAAGTTCCTTTAGCAGTTGTTGTAAAGCTGGTTTGGTGATGCTGAATTCTCTTAACTTTTGCTTATCTGTAAAGGTTTTAATTTCTCCCTCGAATCTGAATGAGATCCTTGCTGGGTAGAGTAATCTTGGTTGTAGGCTTTTCCCTTTCATCACTTTAAATATGTCCTGCCACTCCCTTCTGGCTTGCAGAGTTCCTGCTGAAAAATCAGCTGTTAACCTTATGGGGATTCCCTTGTATGTTATTTGTTGCTTTTCCCTTGCTGCTTTTAATATTTTTTCTTTGTATTTAATTTTTGATAGTTTGATTAATATGTGTCTTGGTGTGTTTCTCTTTGGGTTTATCCTGTATGGAACTCTCTGTGTTTCCTGGACTTGATTGACTATTTCCTTTCCCACGTTAGGGAAGTTTTCGACTATAATCTCTTCAAATATTTTCTCAGACCCTTTCTTTTTCTCTTCTTCTGGAACCCCTATAATTCGAATGTTGGTGCATTTAATGTTATCCCAGAGGTCTCTGTGACTGTCCTGAATTCTTTTCATTCCTTTTTTTTTTTATTCTGCTCCCTGGCAGTTATTTCCACCATTTTATCTTCCAGCTCACTTATCCGTTCTTCTTCCTCAGTTATTCTGTTACTGATTCCCTCTAGAGTATTTTTAATTTCAGTAATTGTGTTCTTCATCACTGTTTGCTCTTTAGTGCTTCTAGATCCGTGTTAAATGTTTCTTGTATTTTCTCCATTCTGTTTCTGAGATTTTGGATCATCTTTACTCTCATTACTCTGAATTCTTTTTCAGGTTGGTTGCCTATTTCATCTTCATTTATTTGGTCTTGTAGTTTTTTACCTTGCTCCTTCATCTGTAATATATTTTTTGTCGTTTCATTTTTTTTTTTTTTTTTTTTTTGGATGGGTGGTGCTGTATTCCTGTCTTACTGGTTGTTTGGCCTGAGACGTCCAGCACTGGAGTTTGCAGGCAGTTGGATAGACCTGGGTCTTGGTGCTGAGATGAGGACCTCCAGGAAACCACACTCTGATTGATATTCCCTGGGGTCTGAGGTTCTGTGTTAGTCCAGCAGTTTGGACTCAGAGCTCCCACCACAGGAGCTCAGGCCCAACCTCTGGCCTGGGAACCAAGATCCCACAAGCTTTGTGGTGCGGTTAAAAAAAAAAAAAGAAAGAAAGAAAGAAAAAAAGGAGCAGTATAATATCAAAGAATAAAAAATATTTTAGGAAAAATAAAACTATATTTGAAACAACTGCAACAAGGTAAAATAAAACCACAACAGAAAAAAGAAAAAAAAGGTGTGGGGGGGGAACAAGCCAAAAGGAGAGATCACTAACAAAGTATAAAGAATAAAATAAAATTAGAAAAATAAAAGATTTATCAGGAAAAGTAAAAATATAAAAGAATCAACAACAATGAATCAACAAGGTAAAACAGAACCTAATCTAAAAGAGGAAAAACGAAAAGAAAAAGAAAAAAAATAAAAGCCTTGGCTATGGGGGTGGAGTTTAGGTGGGGGGTGGAACTTAGGCAGGGGCAAGGTTTAGGATGGGGCAGGACCTGGGGGGGGTGACATTTGAGCATGGGGCGGGGCCTCTGCTTAGGACTGGCCCAAAGGGGAGAGGCAGCATGTGGAAAGGAGGGCCTCTGGAGTGTGGAGTTCCGGAGTTTGGAGATAGGGCCCTGTGTGTGGGTGTGTGGGTAAGGTTTAGGCCCAGTGCATTGGAGGGGGTCTCCGAGTGTAGAGGTGGGGCCCTGGGTGGGTTTGCAGGGGCAGGGCTTGAGCTCTGCGCTGCAGGAGGGAGGCTCCGAGGGCAGAGGATTAGGCCTTGGAGCCGGACAGGCTCCCCAGTGCCTAAGTGGACAGTGAAAGCACTGGCCCCGTTCCCTTCTGTTCCTTTTTGCCCCCCCACCATCTCCCCCAGGGTCTCCCCCATCCCTGCTGGACCCCTAGCCACTGGACCCCTAACCATGGGTGGGTCCCGCTGGGTGCAGGAACTCCTTCCCTCCCCTAGCCACCCCTTAGGGGTGCCAGTCCCAGAGGTCCAGCCTTTACTTTTACTCCCCCTTCTCTCCCTCCCACTCCCCTCAGGACCCACATGGCTGGAGGGGGTGGGCAGAGGATCAGGCCGGGGATCTCAACAGGTTCCTGGGGGCCCAAGTGGGTAGGGGAAACCTGGCCACGCTCCCTTTTGATCCTCTGCCCTCCCAATGGTTCCCCAATTTCTCCCCTCAGGCGTGGGATCCCTTCCCCTCCACTAACCGCCCCTCAGGGGCGCCAGTCCCGTCCCGCCTCCACTTCTCCCCCTTCACTCCCCCCACACCCCACATCCTACCTCGTCTGTGGGGGCTCCTCCTGTCCCCTTAGGTGTCCATGGTCCCCCACTGGTGCCTGGTAGGTGCCCTAGTTGTGAGGAGACGCGAATTCCGGGTCCTCCTAGTACACCATCTTGACTCCACCTCTCAGTAAGTACTTATTAATAATCATTTTTACATAGTGCAGTACTGAGTGTTAGAGAGTTAGAGTTAAAAGAGGTTAGAAGATAGATAGATAGATAGATAGATAGATAGATAGATGAAAAATCTAGTGGCTGATAGGTGTCAGTGAGAATTGTTTGACAGTAATTGTATTACAGTATAAATGTAGTCATTTAAGCCACAGATAGGTAGTTAGACAAAACTAAATTTAAATCCGAGCTCTTTTGTTTCCCTGATGTGTGACCTTGAGCTGATTACGTAAACCATATAAGCTTCAGTTTCCTCTTTTTAAAATGGGCATAATAATACCCACCTCCCAAGGAGGAGCTGTGGGAATTAAATAAGACATAGTGTATGTAAATCAGCTAGCATGGTACCTGTACATGATAGGTAATCAGTAAACAATAGCTGTTGTATTACACCAACATGAAGGTACGTAATTTGTTCAAAGGAAGCACAAAAAGGCGAAGTAGAGTAGCCCTGTGAGTCAAGAACTTATGAATACAAATGAAAACCCACAAACCTGAAGGTTGATGCCTGGTAGAGAAGATTTGGGTGAAAATAAAAGCAGAAGTGACACTGTCACAGGAGCTTACAATAAGGCAGCTGGCTAGTTGTCTTGCCTTTGCCAGCTGCTGGATTGTCTAAGGAGCTCTGCCTATAGGTCTAATTCTCCAAGTTCCCCAAGACTTAAATGCCAGTTTTGACTAGGGAGAAAGTGTGTCATCAGTATCAGCCCCAGCATCGTGCTTCCTTCTAGCCAGGTCAGCTGTGAGCTTTGGATATCTGCAGGTCCCTCCTATTATGCCTCCCACTCCATGTTTGTCCAATTCTGGGCTTCCACCTTAACCTCCACACCTTCAGTCTCTGCTCATTCTGCCTTGCATCCAGGCTTCCTGTAGATTTGGGACGCTCTCTTGAACCCTGGTCTTTTTGACCATGATTCTGATGTCTTGTTTAATACAGAGGGCTGTATTAAATACAGAATACAGAGGGCTGTATTCTGCTGTTCACACCCCTGCCGTGATCTCCTTAAACTATGATACACCCGTGCCTCAGCCTTCATGCTGGGCTTCTTAGTATTAATAGCTTCTTGAACTTCACCTTGGTAAGAGACATCAGGTCTTGAACAGCCCAGCTGCCCTAATCCAAGCCAGCTTCTGTATTCACAGCCCATGCCCTGAGGAGAGCTCTCCACTCCCTTCGGGGCTCATGCTGTCTCTCCACTGGCCATGTGTTGTCAGCTAGTTCTAGCATGCTTTGTGATCCTGTTATGGCCACATCAATAATGCTTTCCCAATACAAATGACAGAATTAATAGCACAGGGCCACAATGTAGGGGTAATGGAGAACTTCAACATCTACTGACAAGCTCATTCTGCTGAAAAGTGAACGTCAAAGTTGGCATGACTTAAATTTAAACTAATTGCTTATTGAAAAGGTACTATTCTATGCTTAATTCTAACCAGCTAAGAAGAATGTGTTGGTGAAGTGGAAGTGACAGACAACTTAAAGTGACCACAGTATCCTTGAATTTGTAGTAGCCAGAGAAGGCAATTCTTCACTTGCTAACCGGATACAAAGAAAACTTAAGCAAGTTAAGAGAATATATGGACATAAGGCTCTATCTGGCCAGGAACTAGGAAAGAAAGCTCAAGAGGAGTAAAGTGACTTGAAATTTAAATTCTTATGAAGCCAGTGATTTCAATAAAGAAAAGGGAGCATCTAAAAAAGATCAACGTGGCTGCTCAAGAAGTGTTCTGATTAGCTCGTATTTTTAAAGGACATGTACAAAAATAGATAGCTGGAGGGGGAGGCCTCACTCTAAAGGACTCAGACCTGTGAAAATAATGCCAGAGGACTTAAAGTCCAGAGAAAACTAGACTCTGGGAAAAGTACTGAAGACAATTTTTGTTTGTTTTTTGCTTATGGATATAGTAAGAATAATAATAAAGAAGGGATAGCACAACCCAACTACTGAATGGGGCAGACTGTCTGATGTTAATAGGTAGCTAAAAACCAAAATCATTCAATTATAGCATTTACTAGATGCTAAGGTACAAGGCTTTTCCCACACATTTTTAATAATTCTAAAATCAGAAAGTGTCTTCAATAGATGTATTTAACGTGGTAGTGTTTTGTGGGGAAGGCTCTAAAAACAGTAAGTGATGGTGTACCATACAAGGAGTTGAAGAATAGAAGAACAGCAAGTACTAGAGACAGGACTGAGACAAGAGAGGATAACTGTGGTCAAAACCTCTAAGAAAGGGTAAAAAGAGACTTCTCTGGGCCCACAGAAGCCAAGTCACTGTACAGATATGTCACAGAGGCAGGGAGGATGATGTCTTTGTCAGTTGGAGCTGCTATAACCAATACCATAGACTGGGTGACTTGTACAAAAAACATTTACTTCTCTGTTCTGAAGGCTAGTAAGTCCAAGCTCAAGGTGCCAGCAGATTTGGTATCTGATGCAGATGAGCACCTTCTTGTATCCACACATAGAGAGAGAGAGATCATCTCTCCTTATAAGGGCACTAATCCCATTCATGGGGTCAGATAATGGCTTGCCCTGGGCAGGACATTTTGAACTGTGCCTGGCACACAGCACATGAGTACTATTGTGTCCTGCCTCTTCTGAATCACTGCTGTAGTCGACATAAAGCCCCAGTTCTCCAAAGTCCAACTTAGTTAGCTATAGTTAGCCCTTGGAGGGCTCCTCTAAGAAGATATTTAGGTCAAGATATAGGTCTCAGGTCACAAACCAGGAAAAGACATTGCAAAGTGGTATAAGACTTCTAGATTTAAAAAAAAAAAAAAAAAGACAGGAATGGTCCAAATAAGTAACCAGAAAACAAAGTAGCCAGGAGACAGAGACTTTGCCAGAATGAATTCAGGGGAGAATTGGAGCTGTGGTCTTATTTCTTCTACTGAGTCTATGTAACCTGTTTAAAAGAAGGAATTCAGAGAACCTATAGATTAGTTGGCCATGGAGGAAATTGTCCCAGTCACATATGATTAGACTTTTAGAAACTGTGATGTGCCCAGGTGGTCCCTATGCAACTGGAATGTAAGGGGTTTAGTACCTAAGGAAGGGACCGTGTCCCTTCATGATTTTAACTCTAGTTTCTATTGCATTAATGGTGGTAGAACAAGTGTTTTCAAATGGCAGAGGATTTGTCGTTTTCTATCAAAAGCAATGATCTTGATACTTAAAGATGTAGTCCTTACCTTAGTTGTCTTCTCACATGAATCCCTCTTTCTCAGCTGCCCTTTCTGTAGGACATCCATGTAGTTTTGAGAAAGCTGACTCCACCTTTATCACCAGAAGATAGCGCATGTGGTCCAGACTAAGTCAATGAGTGAATTTCATCCCCTTGGCCCCAGTGACCACTTCATGTATGGGCATGTAACCTAAGTCAGTCCAATCAACGAAAGAGAATGTCAGGATTTTTGTGCTAAGGCAAAGACACTTCCCTCTAGAAGTGAATGCAGAAGCATGTAACCTGGGAGTTCTTGGACACCATCTAGGGACCAGGAGGGGAGAGTCTCCTGGGAGAGTCTATTGAGAATGGAGCTGTCACCAGGGACTAAAGCAAAGAAATGAAGAGGGAACCATCAGGTCCTCTCCACATTGTGTGAGCCACCTAACCATACATGGCCCTGAAGCCTTTGAACTTTTCTACTAACAGGAGGCAATAAATTCAATATTTTGTTTAAGCCAATTTGAGTTAGATTTCTCTTTCTTGAAACCAAAGCATCATCTCTGATTCAAAAGGATAGAACAAACATGATTAAGAAGGAATGGGGGACTTCCCTGGTGGTGCAGTGGTTAAGAATCCACCTGCCAGGGCTTCCCTGGTGGCGCAGTGGTTGAGAGTCCGCCTGCCGATGCAGGGGACACGGGTTCATGCCCCAGTCCGGGAGGATCCCACATGCCATGGAACGGCTGGGCCCGTGAGCCATGGCTGCTGAGCCTGCGCATCCAGAGCCTGTGCTCTGCAACGGGAGAGGCCGCAACAGTGAGAGGCCCGCGTACCGCAAAAAAAAAAAAAAAAGAATCTGCCTGCCAATGCAGGGGACACGAGTTCAAGCCCTGGTCTGGGAGAATCCCACATACCACGGGGCAACTAAGCCCATGTGCCACAACTACTGAGCCTGTGCTCTAGAGTCCGCAAGTCACAACTACGGAGCCCGAGTGCCACAACTACTGAAGCCCGCGCGCCTACAGCCGGTGCTCCACAACAAAAAGAAGCCACCGCAATGAGAAGCCTGTGCACAGCAACAAAGAGTAGCCCCTCTTCTCTGCAACTAGAGAAAGCCCACGCACAGCAACAAAGAGTAGCCCCCGCTCTCCACAACTAGAGAAAGCCTGTGCGCAGCAACGAAGACCCACTGCAGCCAAAAATAAATAAATAAATGAATGAAATTTATAAGAAAAAAAAAGAAGGAATGGAATAAATTTCCAATGGATTAAAGAGTTAAATATGAAAAATGACCCATACAAGAGAAGTGATATGTCTTGAAAAGATGAAAGTGGTATAAGCATTTCTTGACCTTAGAGTGGTAAAAATCTGAGTGAAAAAATAAAGGTTTATGATTTGTAAAAGAAAAACATTTATAGATTTGACTACTTAAAACTTTTTAGTTTATGTAGATGAAACAGTACCACAAAAAAAATTAAAATATAAATGAGAGCTAGAACTTTTGCAACTAGATATATATGTGACAAAGGGTAGTGGCCTTAATGTATAAAGAGCTCTTACAAATTTATAAGAATAATACAACATTTCAAAAGAAGTGTGGGTAAAGAACACGAAAGCCATGTGGGTAAAGAACATGAAAAGGCAAAAAGAAAAAAAGGAATTCGATTGGTCCAGTCTTAGTAGTAATTAAAGGCAGACTGGAATGGATCAAGTGAAGACTCCATAAGTAGAAATATAAAGTAAAACCAGATGTCTTTGTACCTAACAAATTGTCAAGAACTTTAAAATGATAACTTCCATGAATAAAGATTCAGGGAAATAAACACACTTATACAATATACATGCTTATACAATATGGGGCATGTAAATTGGTTCAAGCCTTCTAGAGAGCAATTTGGCATTGTGTATAAAAAAATTTTAATGTGTGCAAACTATTTAACACAGTAATTTCATTTTTAAGACTTCATTCTAAGAAAATAACCAGAAACACTCCAAAATTTAATGTAGAAGAATATTTAGTAGAGCATGCCTTCTTTATAATATTGAACACTTGGAGATAACATAAGGGTCCAAAAAGAAGTATTCTATAAATTGTAATATATTCCTTTGATGAAATCTTTGCATCCAGTAAAAAGAAGATTATGGAAGATGTCATGATATCAGAAAATGTTGGTAATTTATTTTTAAATATATCTGCTCAGAAAAAAAGACTGGATGGATACACAGAAAAATATTGTTAGTGGTAATATCTCAATAGTGGACTTACAATTGATTTTCTTCTTCATGAGTTTTGAATATTTTAAATCCACTTCAGTAAGTGACCATGTTGTGAATATCTTTTTAGGCACTGAAATGCCAAGCCCAATGCTCTAGACAGAGCAGGCACTCAACAAATATATGGTGAACTGTTCAGGATGATCAATTGCTAGTTAAAAATGCAACAAGGTTGTCTTGTGCGGTAGTGAGCTCACAAGAGTTGTTTAAGCAGAAACTAGCTGGCTGTCTGTTATACTAAAGACTTCCATTTCATAAAAAAAATTTCTGTACCTTGCCCAACTCCATTTTCTTCCCAGCCATTACCTGCTTCCCTTACAGCCAGACTTCCAAGAGGAGTCTTCACTTGATCCGTTCCAGTCTGCCTTCTAATGCTGTAGAAACTGTGTTCATCAGATCTAATTACCAAACCTTATCACTCATCCTACCCCAGAGAGAACTGTTGATCATTTCCTCTTTGAAGGTCTCTTCTCCCTTTACTTGCAGACCTCTGTCCCGTTCTTACGCTATCTCTCTGCTCCTTCCCAGTCTCCTGCCCTGACTCCTCTTCCTCTGACAGCTGCCTGCATGCTTTTTTTTTTCAAGGTCTTGGCACTCTTCTCACTGTATGCCCTCCTCAGGGTATCCCATCCATTCTGAGGACTTAACTACCAGCGGACACTGACTTCTGAACCTATATATTCAGTCCAAACTTTTCTCCCAATCTGCAGACGTGTCTTTCATTTGCCATTGGATGTCCTATAATCACTGCAAATTTAATATGCTACTCATCCTCCTCCCCCCACCTTCTTGCTCTCCTTCTCTTATTTAGCTTAGTTAATATCATTACACTTCAACCTTGGCCTCTCTCCCCTACTCCCAAATGCCTATCTAATCAATAACTATGTCCTCAATGCTACTTCTAAATCTCCCTTGGATTTGTCACTACTTTTCATCCTGTTGCTGCTATGGTGATTCAGACCATAATCCTTTCCTTAGACTATTACAGTGACCTTCTAATTGGCTTTCTTGGCTCCAGTCTCCCCTTACTCTAGTTCAGCCGTCATCTTGCTACTAAATTTTTATGTATTTATTTTTAATATGAATAATCACATCCCTTCCCTATTTAGGAACCTCTGATACCTTTCATACTTATTGTCTTCAGGGGAAAGTCCAAGTTCCTTAGCTGTAAATCAAGGTTCTTCTCAATATGGCTACATCCTACCTTACCAGTTATTTTCAGCCCACACCAGACTTCCCTCTCTTCTCTGAACACAGTTTGCCTTTTCACACTTTTGTGCCTTTCCCCATCCTATTCCCCTAAGTATCTTCTCTCCTCAGCCAACTCATTTCCTCCTTCAGTGCCCAACCCAAACTTCACTGCCTCTAGGAAAAGAAACCCCCTCTGCAGCTTCCAAGTCAGACATTAGGACAAAAGATATGGTATTTAAAGCAGTGGATCATATGATATCGCTTATATGTGGAATCTGAAAAAAAGGGTACAAATGAACTTATCTACAAAACAGAAATAGAGTTACAGATGTAGAAATCAAACTTAAGGTTTTCAGGGGGTAAGTGGTGGGGGGATAAACTGGGAGATTGGGATTGACATATACACATTACTATATATAAAATAGATAACTAATAAGGACCTACTGTATAGCCCAGGGAACTCTACTCAATACTCTGTAATGGCCTATATGGGAAAAGAATCTAAAAAAGAGTGGATATATGTATATGTGTAACTGATTCAATTTTCCGTACACCTGAAACTAACACAACATTGTAAAGCAACTATACTCCAATAAAAATTTAAGAAATAAAATAAAATAAAGCAATGGACTGGATGGGAAATTGCAGAGGACTAAGCCCAAGGGGACTCCCAGCATTCAGAAATCAGGAAGGACCCACCAAAAGAAACTGAGAAGGAATAAACAATGAAGTAGAAGGAAAGCCAGTGTGGTGTGGTGGAAGCAAAGTGAAGAAAATGTTTCAACAGAAAGGAACTAATCATTAGTGCCAAGTAGCTGCTGAGAGGGCAGTAAGGTGAGGATGGACAACTGACCACTGGATTTGACAACAGAGAGGTCACTGCAACCTTCACAGTTGTGTTTGCAGTAGTAGAATGGGGGACAAAGGCTGACTGGATTGGCTTCAGGAGAGTCTGAAATGAGGAAGTTGATGTTCTTTGAATGGGTGAAGTAGTAGATGAATGAAGAAATAATGCCTTAGAGGGACTTCCCTGCCGGTCCAGTGGTTAAGACTCCATGCTTCCAATGCAGGGAGCGCAGGCTCGATCCCTGTTCGGGGAACTAAGATCCTACAAGCCGCGTGGCGTGGCCAAGTTAAAACAAAAAAAAAGATATCTTAGAGAGGATTCTATAATTGGTCAGGAACCAAAATAGATTAGTTATTTTGAACTCTTAGAGTCTCTGAAAAGTTTCCAAATAGAAACAAGGATGCAATTTGGTGGTGCAAAGTTTTTCTTAAGTGACAAGGGAATTCAGAGTAGGATTACCAAGGCAGTAGGGTTAGTCTAGGGAAGGTTCTATGTGAGTTCTCTGTAATGGTTGCATTTTATCTATTACTGACCTGGTTCACAAAGGCCTTCATGCAGGACTTCTCAGAATCTTCAGGGAAGAGCTGTCCCTGCAGGCACTTGGGTGTAGAATTTTCAGAGACTATTTCCAACACCTCCTGCTGGTGTGTAGAGGTGCTGATAAGTCTATAAGGCTGGCTCTCATGCTTCTGGAGGCTGGGCAGCACCAAGGCTGAATGGTTGGGAAGAGGTAAACAGGAAATATCTGACTCACACAATGTAGTGCATTTGGAAATGCTGTATTTGGAAGTATTTCTATATAAAAATCTTATACTGAAATCATAATGGAGGTGGACTAAATACTCACCTACCTATATTTGATGAATAGGTAGAGGCTGTTCTTACCTGCCGCCTCCTAGAGATGAAATACGGAGAATACAAACTTTGGGTAGACCAGACCCAAGCTTTGATTTTGTGCTGTTACCTATGTGACATTTTTCAAACTGTTAGAGTTTCAAAAAGTACTTTGATACAGATCCCATGTAGAATGTGTTTTTACTTACATGACTGAAGACAACCCATGGACCATATATTTCCCTTTATACAATTATTTATGTTGACATCTAGGGCCTGGATTATGGAATAGAACCAGTTATAGAATATTGAAGAACCTCCTGTTATACCATGTTTCCTGTGGTTCCCCAAACGCACAGGATGGTCTTATATGTGCCTTTCCTTGTGCTGTGCCCTCTACCTGGGATACCCAAATCCCCTTCTTCCTGGCATGCTCAGATCTAAGAGGCCTTTCTCACCCTCTCAGACAGAGATCAATCCCCTCTCTGTTGTCCCCACACTACTTTCATGTGTCACTCCATCTCTACACCAACCACACTTAACTACAGCTGTTTACTCTTCCGGCTCCCTCATTGGGCTGAGTTTCCTGAAGTCAGTGATTTTGTCTTCCTCTTCTATCTTTTACATCTAGAGTAGTGTTTGCACATTTTGGACACACAATCCATATTTGTTGAATGGATGCATGAGTGCTTGAGAGTATGAATAAATGAATGAGTGGATGAATACATGAAAAGATTAGAAAAATGTTACCCCACAGATGGAAGCTCATACAAACATGAAAGTGTCAATGACTTTACATATACACAGAATTAGTGCATGGAACGGTACTTTCCAAGTACAATTGAGATGACAAGGTTACTGTAGCATAATGCATGTAAAGAGGAGAGTGATACACACAAACGACTCGTAATGTGTGTGGCACAAGGTGGTGAGCACTGTGCTGATTAAAATGAGCTGGGTGGGCTTCCCTGGTGGCGCAGTGGTTGAGAGTCCGCCTGCCGATGCAGGGGACACAGATTCGTTCCCCGGTCCGGGAAGATCCCACATGCCAAGGAGCGGCTGGGCCCGTGAGCCATGGCCACTAAGCCTGCGCGTCCGGAGCCTGTGCTCCGCAACGGGAGAGGCCACAACAGTGAGAGGCCCGTGTACTGCCAAAAAAAAATAATAATAATAAATAAATAAATAAAATGAGTTGGGTGATAGGAATTGATTGGTTTTCATCTAGATTTGGGAGAGAGATTTGATCTGTGGAACAGAATGAACATTTTGGCCCATGTGATTTCTTTTTTTCTTTCTTATTTTATTTTATTTATTTTATTTTTGGCTGCATTGGGTCTTTGTTGCTGCGTGCAGGCTTTCTCTAGTTGCGGTGAGCGGGGGCTAGCGGTGCACAGGCTTCTCATTGTGGTGGCTTCTCTTGTTGCGGAGCATGGGCTCTAGGCGCGCGGGCTTCAGTAGTTGCAGCACGTGGGCTCAGTAGTCGTGGCTCGCGGCTCTAGAGCACAGGCTCAGCAGTTGTGGCACACGGACTTAGTTGCTCCACAGCATGTGGGATCTTCCCCGACCAGAGCTTGAACCCGTGTCACTTGCATTGGCAGGCAGATTCTTAACCATTGTGCCACCAGGGAAACCCCTTGTGATTTCTTTTAAGCAAGGTATTTTTCATCTTAAAATTTAAGGGCAAGGTACACCTTAATAAGCTTGTTTATCTAAAGCATGGCTTCATTGTAAAACAAAACAAAAAAAAGAAAAGGAAAAACCAGCTATTACACCTTTAAAATGGAAGTTACATTGAACTAGTCATTTCATTCCCGCATGCCTCAGTTTCTTCTATGCATACTTTGTATGCATGATAATAATAAATGATAATAGCCCTTACTAGTATTTACACTATAAAAGGGCTGTTAATGTAAATTAGATAGTATAAAATGGGTTATGATGTCTTCTTTGAAAGACAAGCACTATACACAAATGGTATATTATTATTTAGTTTTTCCTTTTCAATCTCGTTAAATGAGAATTAGATGAAAACTCTGCCCCTTAAGCAATACCCAGTGGGTAAATGATTATTGAGTTGAGTAAAATGAAAAAAAAAATCTTCAGCTGAAAAGTCAGTTTGTGCAGCTTAGCTGGTCTGTGCACAAGACAAAAATATTGTCTTTATCTGATGTTTACCACTGCTTTTTATCTCCTCTCTGTGCCGTAGTCACAAACTGAAGACAGTTAAGCCTTTCAGTTCAGTCATAGTGTGCATTTTAGAGAACACAGATATCCTGGAATGATTACAATTGAGAAATAATGTTTCATTTAATCAAGCCGTGTGGCCAGTTTTGCTATTGATTTAGGGCTAATTCAGCTACTAGTTCTTAGGTTCGGGGTGCTCCCTCCATAGGTGCAACCCTTTCGGGTTAGTTACTGCCATTGCCTCTGTGCGCTCCCTGTTTGCACCATCCAGGCCAGAGCTTCCTTATCTTCTCCTTGGAATACAGGTTACTAAGAGGGGTTGAGGGTATAAGATTTTGGGAGTCGTCGTGAATGTCAGAAATGTCACTTTGTTGTCATGAAGGGGCGAGAACTGAAACAACGCAGTGGAGGATTCAGGATAACAGAGCTGGTGGTGCTAGGGCCACCTGTCCAGCACAGCTATGCCTGGCCTCTCTGTGCATAATAGCTCCAGCCTACTTCTAGTTCCTGGTCCCTGTTCTCTGACTGCTCCCTGCTCCTCCTCTCTCATCCAAACCCCTTACGGTGTTCACCCATTGTATCTAGGCTCACGTTCACTCCCTAGGACCAACCTCAGCACTGCTGGTAGTTGTGATCATCTGTTTTCCCCCAACCCAAATCCAGAGATTTTGGCTTCTGGATTTTGCTCTCAGAGATGACCCCTGCCTAGCCAGCTGTGGGCCAGCTATCTGCTCTAAGGTGACCAGACTCCTCTCCCCTCCCTCTGACTGGTCCCAATACATGAGCTATGGCAATAGGTGTGACAGTTGTGTCTGATCAGGTTTTTATCAATACCCATGAAGGTCATTTCATTGGTGGGCTGCTCAGAGAGGTCAGAGCCCAGGAAGCCTGTGTGAAGTTTAAAGGCCTAGAGAAGGGGCAGGTGCAGAAGAAGAGTACAAAAGGCAGATTTGGTTTACTGGACAGTTTTAGCCACTTCCAGCACCAGTTGCAAGACCCCAGCCCAACACAAAGGCCATGCCTACCAAGAGCATCGCCATGTGGTAACCGAGCTAATGTAAAAGTGGTGAGGGAGGGCTTCCCTGATGGCGCAGTGGTTGAGAGTCCGCCTGCCGATGCTAGGGGACGCGGGTTCGTGCCCCGGTCCGGGAAGATCCCACATGCCGCGGAGCGGCTGGGCCCGTGAGCCATGGCCGCTGAGCCTGCGCATCCAGAGCCTGTGCTTCGCAACGGGAGAGGCCACAACAGTGAGAGGCCCGCGTACCGCAAAAACAAACAAACAAACAAAAAAAGTGGTGAGGGAGCCTTCGTAGTGGCACCATTTCCCTACCTTTGGGAAGAAAATCTAGGGATTATATCTTCTACTTTTAAAACAAATTGTTTAAAACAGTTGTCTACATTCAGGTTCCATTTATTCCTCAGCTTGCTGTGACCTGCCTTCTGCCTCCACTGACCCCGCTCTCACCCAGCTGGTCAAATACCTCCTTGGTGCTCCCTCCATAGGTGCTCCTCAGACTTTTCCTACTTGATCTCTTGACAGCATTTACCTTTGTTGACCATAACCTACTTGTTGAAATGTGCTTTTCCCTTGTTCTGTATGGTATCTCACTCTTTTTGTACCCTCTGGCTGTACTTTTTTCAGGGATCCTTTCTCTGCCCATATATATATTTTTAATTAATTTATTTATTTATTTTTTGGCTGCGTTGGGTCTTCGTTGCTACGCGCAGGCTTTCTCTAGTTGCGGTGAGCGGGGGCTACTCTTCGTTGCGGTACGCAGGCTTCTCATTGCGGTGGCTTCTCTTGTTGCGGATCATGGGCTCTAGGCACGCAGGCTTCAGTAGTTGTGGCTCACGGGCTCAGTAGTTGTGGTTCACGGGCTTCGTCGCTCTGTGGCATGTGGGATCTTCCCGGACCAGGGATCGAACCCATGTCCCCTGCCTTGGCAGGCAATTCCTAACCACTGCACCACCAGGGAAGTCCCTCTCTGCCCATGTTTTAAGTTTTGGTGCTCCTCTGGGTTCTCTTCTGAGCCCTTTTCTCTTCGGTGACACTCGCCCTGTGTATCGCTTTCATCCCCTTGGATTCTATTGTTGCCTACCGTGTACTGATGCTTCCTAAGCCTGTATTCTCAGACTTCAAGATCAACCTGCCTACTCGTGCCCGGAGAGTATTCCCCAGGCATTACAAATCAAACACAACCACGGCTGGTCTCATCCCTTTAGTAAGTGTCTTAGTGAGTGATGTCACTGTCCACCCAGCTGTTCAAGTCAAAAACCTGAGTGGCAGTTTTGACTTCTTCCCTTCAAAACTCCAGCATTTAAGCAATCAGAGATTTCAGTAGATTGTACCTCCTCTATGACATAGCTTGTAAGGCTCTGTATAAATTGGTTGTTTACCTTTCCAGTCTCATCTCTGACCATGCTGTCTCAGCTATCCTGAACTGTTTTCAGTACTCAGATAATCAGTGATTTCTGTCACCTTCAAAACGTGCATCCTTCACTGAAACAGATCTTCCTCCACTGAAACAGATCTGCCCCACCTCTTTATTTGACTAACTCCTCGTACCTTGGAAGTCTCCACGTAGAAGTTACTAGCTTCCAATTCTCGCAAATTCCGGGTTAGATGTCCCTCCTAGAGCTCTTGGTACTCTTCTCTTCATAACACACTGCTTTATCGGAGCTGCCTTTCCAGTTTCTGCCTTGCCCTCTACTGCAAGCTCTACTGGAAGGTTTCTGTAAGCAGGAACCATGTTTATCCTATTCACCTTTGTACTCGTAGCACCAACAAAGTATCTGGTACAAAATAGATGCTCAGTGAATGAAAATAAATATTAGAAGTATCACTGTGAGAGTGGAAAATAAATTTCCAATCAGAGGTTGCAATTAGGATTTTACAAAACAAAGATTTATCAAGTCCCTCTAACATCAAAGGGATTTGAAGATTATCTAAACTATTCAGAGAGTTTATCAACATTAGAATCATGAGCAGAGAGCAGTTAGTAGAGGTAGATTTCAAATCTGTCCCTTATGGGCTTCTTTTCTAGAGTTCAATACCCAGACTCTCTGAGCCATGTTTTGGGGTCACCCAAGCATTCCATCCTCCTGACTTCCCATAAACTTTTGGATTCATAACCCACTCCATACTTGAGAACATGGGGATTGGGATAAGGTAAGTGTTAGCTTTTGTTTTTTCCTCTATTATTTCATTTTCAACCATATACTATACTTGTAGAGCAACAATTTTTAGTCTCTCTCTGGAGTCTTGATCAGGAGGTATGACCAGCTCCCCTGCTAGTCTAGCTGGCCTCACAATGTTTGAATACCCTATGCATATGAAGAAATGTTGCAAAGTCTCTTGAGGTATTATGTCCTTTCATATTTTCTTTTTTATTTCATGGCTATCTAAATTCTTTATCATCGTTCTATTGATTTTTCCTAATATGATTCCACACAGAAAAAAGTGAGTTTTGAGAAACCGGAAAGACTTGCTTCCCACTCGGGGACACCTTTTGGGCCAGATGCACAGTAAGAATGCAGGGCATGAGCAGTGCAGTCAAACTTCACAAACAACTCTGCTTTAGCCACACTGCATATGGGTAACTGCTCACTCCACCTCCACTGTCAACGTTTGTGAACCCCCTCCCTGCTTTAGTTTTTCATTTAAAAAAGACTTATTATTATTTATTTATCTTCATATTTATTAATTGCTTATCCCCTAACTAGAATGTAAGCTTTATGAGGACAGGGATATTTTTTTGGTTCACCACTATATATGCTCAGCACTTGGAACAATAACTGGTACATGGTAGGCACTCAATAGATATTGTTGATTGAATGAACGGTGTCTTTTAAAAAAAATTTTAAGAGGCTGATGCACACCCAGGCCTCTAGGGATCTAATGCAAATCTGGTTTGCGGCTTTGTTGCCCTTAACACTTTGATTGATGGCTAAGATGATAACATTGACTGCTGCCGAACGAATTTACAGATGATACACAGCTAGAAAAGATAACAAATAAGTTGGATGATGCAATCAGGATTCTCCTCCCCCTTATCAAATCCTGAAAAAATATAATAATGAATCACATCTAACAATACAAAGTTTACCAGGGACAAATATAAAGTACTCAAAGATCTCCAAATTCAATTGTACAAGTACAGGTTGGGGACAAGGTGACTTACAATAGCTCACGTCGGAAGATTTAGAGCCTTCTGTTGATTGTGAATAGATGATGAGTCAACACAGTGTGATGTAACTTCCACAAAAAGAAAATCAATCTTTTGTTGTATTAAGAGAAATACAGTGTTCAAGTCGGGGAGTAGTTCTCTAGTTCTCACTAGTGATCAGGTCACATTTGCTCTGTTTTATGAATTCTGATCTTCAGCCTTTAAGAAAGACATTGATAAATAAAAGGTTATTCAAGAAGAGTAAAAAGGGTAAAATGGGATCTTGTAATCAGTGTCATATCAGAAATGATTAAAGGATCTAAGAGTCGGTGTGGGTGTGTGAGGAGGACGGTGATAGCTAGCACATGTAGCTGCCTTCCAAAGTTAAAGGGGCTGTCCTGCAAGAAGAGATTAGATTTCGTCTGGGTAATCCCAAATGACAGATGGAAGACCCTTGAGTAGAAGATGTAAGTATGTATATTAAAACCTGTTAGAATTTATCAACAATTCTGTTTTGTCCAGTAATCAAGTGGACAACTGGTGGAGGTTGTAAGTTCCCTGACCCTGGTGGTATTCAGGCAAAAGCTGGGCACTCATGCCTCATGTCCTGAATACACTTGTGATGGAAGTTCAAACACTACAGTGAGGGATTGGGTTAATCACAATAGCAAACACATACTAAGTGCTTACTCTATGGTAGGTACCATAAAAAGTGATTAATGTGGGTTATTTTTTGGCTGCGTTGGGTGTTCGTTGCTGCGCACAGGCTTTCTCTAGTTGCGGCGAGCGGGGGCAACACTTTTGTTGTGGTGCATGGGCGTCTCATTGTGGTGGCTTCTGTTGTTGCCGAGCACAGGCTCTAGGCGCGCGGGCTTCAGTAGTTGTGGCTTGTGGGCTCTACAGCACAGGCTCAGTAGTTGTGGCGCACAGGCTTAGCTGCTTGCAGCATGTGGGATCCTCCCAGACCAGGGCTCGAACCCATGTCCCTTGCATTGGCAGGCGGATTCCCAACCACTGAGCCACCAGGGAAGTCCCTGGGTTATTATTTTTAATGTATCAATCATACTAGCTCCATCTGACAGATGAGAAAACTGAGGCTTAGGGGGGTTAAGTAACTTGCCCAAGGTCTTACACCTTGTACATAGCAGAGCAAGGATTTTAACTTAGGCAGTCAGATCCCCAAATTTAACTTATTGTTCTATAAGGACTCCCACTTCTAAAAAACCATTCTTTCCCACCCTGAGATTCTACCACTCTAATGAAGATATCAAATCGAGGAGCTTATCATCTCCACTTGTAAATGATTCTATACTAACTAGGTTCTTTCTGCATAGTATGTGGCGCTAAATTAACCTGGGCAGTTGCCACTTGTGGTACACTGTATGGAGCCCAGCGTATTTATTAAGGGAAAAGAATGAGTGAATGCAACCACACAAGCTGCATTAGAAATGACAGAATCTCAATATATTGTGTCTGAGGAAAAACAAGCACATTTCTGGGTGGTCTACTGAGGATACTTGGCAAAAAGTGATAATCCATCATTCCTGGCAGAGGCCTTGTGAATTCCTGCTCAGTTGTTTGGACAATATTCATTTAAACAAATATTTATTGAGTACCTGTCCTGTGCCAGGTATGTCCAACGTGCTGAGGGTGCAGAGGTGAATCAGAGGATGCACTGTTAGTGGGGGAGATGGACAGGTAAGCAAATTCTTATGACACAGTGTGACAAGTGCTTAGCAGGTGTATGCATATGTTTTAAGTATTACAGGGACAGAGTGGAAAGGAACTGATTCTGCTTGTTTGAAGGAGTTGTCCAATACTTGATTATGTTTTCAAAATGACTGTCACATACGTTGCATGAGTTTATTAGGTCTTCATAAAGACCATATGAAGTCATGATCCCTTTTTGGACATAAGATCAAATAGAGTATCATAGAGGTTAGGTGAGCTCCCCAAGGTCATGCAGCTAGCAATAATACTTCCTGACATTTATTGAGTGCTTCGGCTACCTGAGGTTCTGTTCTAAGCCATATTAAGATGTTTCATTTTCACAACTCTATGAGGTAATTATTAATATTATTACCACTTTACAAATGAGAAAACTGAGGCACAAGATTTAAATAATTTGCCTAGAGTCACATAGCTAGAAAGTGGAAAAACCAGGATTTGCACCAACCCATTCTGGCTTTAGCAGGCACGCACTTACCCAGTGCACTAAATTACCTGTAACTGGTCCCCTAAAGAGCTGGAACTCACACTTAGATTCTGATTGCAAGTTCAGCTTTCTTTCAAGTGACCTTGCTCTTTAGCAATATTACATCCAAATAAGAGAAATGGTGTGTGCCTGGCTGCAAGGAGAGGTTGTGTAGGTCAGGCATCCCCGAAAGTGTTTTGGGAGAGGTATGGTAAAATTTAGAATATGCATTAGTTGTATATGCGGGGTTTTTCAGGGCAGCCAGAATTTGGCCTCTTGTTCTCCAGGGCAGCAGTCTGGGCTCTAGGGACTATGATTTGTTAAACATAGGAACTAGACACCAACACTTACCCTGTAGCCTTTTAAACTTTAGTTTAAATTTTTCTAAAAGAAAATGACAAGATGTGAAACAGCAAGAATGAAGCAAGTTAAATTCAGTACCTTATATATAAGCAAGAATGGAGATACAGAAAAGGAGAAATGAAGCACATAATTGCTAAAATTATCCAAGTTTTCTCTCCATAATAAAAATTCTTGGATTGAAAAATAGTTCAATACAATATTACTGTACCTTAATAATTAGGTTGATTTGGCTCTGTGGTAAATCTGAGAAAGAATTGGTTATTAAAATGAATGAAGTAGATTAGCCTTCCCTCAGTAATCACTACTTCAGCTAATAAGGATATGACCTATGTGATTGAATCTACTGCATTTTTAAGACATCCATCTCCCATAATTTTTGGAGATTCAATAATTTAAAAATCAGCAGTGGGGCTTCCCTGGTGGCCCAGTGGTTAAGAATCTGCCCACCAATTCAGGGGACATGGGTTCGAGCCGTGGTCCAGGAAGATCCCACATGCCGCGGAGCAACTAAGCCCATGCGCCACACTGCTGAGCCTGCGCTCTAAGCCCGTAAGCCACAACTACTGAGACCACATGCCACAACTGCTGAAGCCCGCGTGCCTAGAGCCTGTGCTCCGCAACGAAGAGAAGTCACCGCAATGAGAAGCCCAAGGACCACAATGAAGAGTAGCCACTGCTCGCTGCAACTAGAGAAAGCCCGTGCGCAGCAACAAAGACCCAACACAGCCAAAAATAAATAAAAAATAAAAATCAGCAGTGGGTGGGGATTTCTGTGGTAGGCAGAGGGCAGAAAAGGTCAATGTTCTTCAACATTCTTTCTTTCACAGCAAGTGGGGTTTTTTGGTTTCCGTTGGTTTTCAGTGTTTTGTTTTGTCATGTATGGAGACCTAGGAGATGCAACTGATTTATCTTAGCCTTTGTGTTTATAGATTTCTATTTTCTTGGCTTCAGGTCCTTGGAAACATTTGTTTTGATGGTGGCTGGAGAGTTAGTCATGTTTTATTTTTGTTGTTCCTATTTATTTTTAAGATCCTTTAGTTCAAGTCCACTTACAAGGTGTTACATAACCTGTATTTATGTTTCCACAAATAAAATATTCCTAGTAGTAATTTCTAGTACACTCTTATAAAAACAGTTAATAATTTGATGCCCATCAGAATGATTCTGTAATATTAATAAGCTAGAACAAGGATATGCTTTGGAAAATTGTGTTTGAAATGTATAATTGGATTTAGCACTTAACATGTGAAATTTCAAGTTTCTTACATCAATTATTTTTGAGTTACCAAGCAGCCAAATTCTTATAAACATATTTTTCCTTTTCATCACTGAGTCAACAAAAGTTGGAGAATTCTTTTCTCACATATTCCATTCTTTAACTAAGCCTGAAGGCTTTTTAAAAAAAGCACATCCCAAACAAACAGTTTTACATGAGGTTATGAGTAATGAGTAAACGAACAGAGTGGGCTCTACTGGCACTGGGGATGTACGTCTAATTAGAAGTCTCAGTATTCCAAACATATAATTTACTAACGTTGAGGTTTTTAATTCTTAACTTTGAGTCCATTGGGATGGAAACAAGTGACCCTTGGTGGAAATATGTCAAGAATCAACTTTCTCAGGTTGACCTTTAGTTTGTTGGTCAACGAATCAAAACATTGTGTATTCCCAGGCTTAAAGATGTCTGTACCTTGTTAAATTCGTTAAAAGATCAAGGCAGAAAGCTAGCACTGCTTTGCTGCTTTGAACAGGTTGCCCTCTCCCTTCTTCTTGATGCCTCTTCTTCATGAGAGATGGTCCATCTTAGCTGGCTCCATGCATGAAGCAGTATGAAGCACATTGCATCTCCTGCACATCCTCCGGAGTGGGTCTGGGTGTGGGGGGAGGTAGAGAACTCTGTTTTTACAATGAGACGGGTGAATATCAGCTTTCGAACTGACTTGACATACTTTTTAGTCCAAGGCTCCATACTAGGCACCAAAGACTGCTACAAATGCTCTCAATCACCAATGTTCATAACTTAAAAGTAGTAACATAAGATTTGCAATCAAGGGCTTCCCTGGTGGCGCAGTGGTTGAGAGCCCGCCTGCCGATGCAGGGGACATGGGTTCGTGCCCTGGTCCGGGAAGATCCCACATGCCGCGGAGCGGTTGGGCCCGTGAGCCATGGCCGCTGAGCCTGCGCGTCCGGAGCCTGTGCTCCGCAACGGGAGAGGCCACAACAGTGAGAGGCCCGCGTACCGCAAAAAAAAAAAAAAAGATTTGCAATCAATTAGATTACTGTCTGACCTGGAGCAAACAACTTAACCTCTCTCCAAAGTAACTATTTCACAGTGTTATTATAGTAAATAATTGAGATTGTAAATATGAAAATACTTAGTGCAAAGCCTGGCACATAGTTGCAAGTGAAGGCTGAATTTATGTGAAGCATATAATTAACTACCCGTGGAACCTCAAATGGACAAATGAACCCAAATTGACATTATCTGTCTCTAGCCAGTTTTAAGTCAGAAAATTTCACTTCCAGATGAATAAACTACATCTACCAATGACTTTGCTTTAAAGCCTACATTCAGAACAAAATGTTATTTAAGTGATAATCTGTTAGTATATTTCATAACAGGAGCTGACTATGGTTTCTGTAGCAGAAAATTACATGTGAACAAAAGGAAGAAGGAAAATTAGATAAATGAAAAGTCTTTATTTCAAAATAAATGAAGAAGAGACAATTATCTGATTATAGAACATTCAGATCATGGTATAATTATTGTAAGTCTACATGTAATTACAAAATATAATTGTATTTATGTTAGTTTTTAAATTTTTTTTCTGATCTTAAAGGACTGATTTTCTCATAATTGAATGACAAACTCTGCAGTACCTCGTATTAACTATTAATATGCTAAAAATACCCATTAACTATCTTTTTCTTAATTGCAACTACTGTCTTGGACTTACATTTATTTAAGCGATACAAAAGGAATGATATAAACTGCTTGCTCTTCTGCATATTAGAAAGTAGGAGAAAGAAGCATTCCCCCGACCCACTTAACTATGAAAAAAGGACTCTCCCAAGTTCCCAGGAACTAACACGATAGTAAAATTACAAGAAAATTTTGTTAAGAAACCTTTTCTCATCTGCAAGTTGTTTGACTGAAACCTGAGGTGCTGAATTTCAGCACAAAGGTGACTTTGGAGGAGAAAGTTTGTGCCAAACTGGATCAGTTGTTTTTGTGTTATGTAAGAAGGAGAAAAAAAATTAACTGTTTCCTCCTAAGCTATAAATTTAAGATTACCCTATTACACCAAATGAGAGAATTTCCAGAACTCAAACTTTACTTTAGCCTTATATTTTCATGAACTATTTTCTATACCCTCTCAAAACTAACTATAATTAAATATTAAGTAATTTGCCTGGCCAATTATATTTTAAAAGTACAAAGTTATTTTATTCATTACATCAGAAGTGAATTCTAGTTGAATGGTAAAAACGGTATTGTTAAATAATTTAAAACATTTTCTTTTAAAATAATTTTTTCCTCATTATATAGAATATAAGTGCAGTGTAAAACTATAGAATATACAGTAGAGTAAAACCAAAAAGATAAAAATCACCAAACCACCCACAATTCTATCATCCAGAGATAATCACCATCAATATTTTGCTGTATCCCTTATAATGGGTGTTCACACACACAAACACACACACACACACACACACACACACGCAAACCCATTATATGTAAATGTATATTAATGTTATTATAGAAAATTTAAAACATAAACAAAAGTAGACAGAGAGCATAATGAACCTTATGTACCTATCAACCTATGATGACCAAACCAACCCATCAATTCCCTCTTCTTCTTTCCCACTTATTCTGTTTTAAAGCAAATTCCAGAAATTGTATCATCTCATCCACAAATATTTCAATATGGATCTTTAAAAGATAAGGCCTTTTAAAACAACCATTATCACATCTAAACTAATTAACAATGATATGTTACTAATATGAAATAAGTCATTGTTCAGAATTTCAATTGTCTCATGAATGTCATAATTTTTTTAAAATAAATTTATTTATTTATTTTTGGTTGTGCTGGGTGTTCGTTTCTGTGCACGGGCTTTCTCTAGTTTCGGCGAGTGGGGGTTACTCTTCGTTGCAGTGCACGGGCTTCTCATTGCGGTGGCTTCTCTTGCTCGGAGCACAGGCTCTAGGCGCGCGGGCTTCAGTAGTTGCAGCACGCGGGCTCAGTAGTTGTGGCTTGCGGGCTCTAGAGCACAGGCTCAGTAGTTGTGGCACACTGGGCTTAGGTGCTCCGCAGCATGTGGGATCTTCCCGGACAAGGGATCGAACTCGTGTCCCCTGCATTGGCAGGGGGACTCTAAACCACTGTGCCGCCAGGGAAACACCATAATTTATTTTTACAGGTTGTTTGAAGCAGGATCCAAATAAGGTTCACATGATGAGATTGGTTGATATGCCTGTTAAAGGTTGATATGTCTGTTAAATCTCTTGAAATATAAATGGGTTTCCACTGAAATATTTTTTTCCTTCCACTTTAGTTGTTGAAGAAACCAAGTTGTTTGTCCTGTAGAACTTCCCACAGCCTAGATTTCTCTCATTGCGTCTTCATGGTATAGTTTAACATGTTCCTCTGTCCTCTATATTACCTGCAACTATCTACAGGGTTTAACAGATTCAGTTGTGGTTTCTTTATTTTTTTTGGCAAGACTGCTTCATAGGTAATGTGTTTTGCCATTAAGAGGTGCATAATGTGTAATAATCTCTTCTTTATGTTGTTACCTGGAGTCATTAGTTTATTAAGGATTGCAAAATGGCTATATTTTTAATCCTATTATTCCTTGAATTGATCTTCTGGTATGTGCCAATGGTTTGCTTTTTATGTTTGTTTGTCTTTAAATTATCATTCAAACTCATTAATTGAAACATATTTAATTTGTTTCAACACATCTTATTTATTATTCTTATTAATGCTGAAATTAACCTTTATTTGGCCTGTGACAGCATCTTCAAATTAGCTCCTGACTGATTTTGACATGACCCTAGGAGTCTTTGATAGTGCCTCTACTAGTTGGTATAATAAGATGGTCTAGGCTAGGTCTTTATAGTTATGTATAATACTGCAACAAAGCATTTGTGCCCATATTATTATTTCTTTGGTACAAATTCCTATAAGTGGAATTACCTGGCCATAGGGTAGGAACATATTTAAGCTCTTGATTAGTATTGTCCGGTCGTCTCTAGAAAGGTTATACCAGGTTACACACCAAGCAGCGGTGCAGGAGAGTGGCTGCTTCATCCCGTGACTAGTTATAGACATTCACATTGACATGTTTCTGCCAGTATGATCTAAGTCAGGTAGAGTCACTCCTGTTTTTTCTTTGTTTTTCCCTCTTTGGTAGAGAAACTTTAAAAACTAAGAATACCTCATGGTTGGGACTTCCCTGGTGGCGCAGTGGTTGAGAATCCGCCTGCCAATGCAGGGGACACGGGTTCGATTCCTGATCCGGGAAGATCCCACATGTCACGGAGCAACTAAGCCCGTGCGCCACAACTACTTAGCCTGTGCTCTAGAGCCCGTGAGCCACAGCTACTGAGCCCGTGTGCCACAACTACTGAAGCCTGCGCGCCTGAAGCGCGTGCTCCATAACGAGAGAAGCCACTGCAATGAGAAGCCCGCACACTGCAACAAAGAGTAGCCCCCGCTCGCCGCAACTTGAGAAAGCCTGCGTGCAGCAACAAAGACCCAACACAGCCAAAAATAAATAAATTTATTAAAATAAAAAAGAATACCTCATGGAAAAACTACACTAATGTAACATTTTCATATTTATATTATGAATTAATAACTATATATCAACAAATATTAGAATGGCTTTATCAAACTAAATGTATTACTTATAAATTAACATGTGGAATTGGTAATACTTTAGTTGCAAACATACATATAATGACTGAATATTAATTTTTATAGCTTTTTGGTAATTTGGTAGCTACTTTTAAAGTTTCTGGGGTCTTTAGTTATAACTTTACCTTTGCAGAACTCATTATACATAAAGTTTTATTTCCCTGATATAGTTTAGAAAGTTAAGTAACTTGCAACCATTACTTACAGGTACCTTATGTATACAGTTTCATGTAAATCATGAAAGCAAAAAAAAAAAAGTAGATTACAGATTAAAAAAACAGACTGTTAGAGCTAGAAGGATCTTAAAGGTGATCTGGTCTAACTGCTTCACTTTATATTTTGGGAAACTAAGGCAAAGGGCAGTTATGTAACTTCCCTGAGGTTATACAGCTAATTTGTGAAAAAGTAAGATAAAAATCCAAATCTGACTCAATATAGTGCCCTCTCCATGTAGCTTCTCAGAATTAGCAAAACTTGAAGGCAATATGCAAAATTAAAATAATTGTTGTGTTAGGGAAATGGCATTTGAGGTATTGTCCTTTGAAATTCTACTGTTACACTACCTTTTCAGTTAAAAAAACCTATAGAAAATAGACCAACAACTACATTATAAAATCAGGTGAAAGAGAACTTCTGTTATTTGGAAGCTAGAAATAAATTATTCTAATTGTAGGGATTTATAACAATCAACATACACAGTATATGAATGCTATACACACACACACACACACACTATTGCAAGCACTTCAATGGCATTATCTTATTGAATTCTAACTATTATCTCAAGTGCAGAGGTTATACGACTTGCCCCAGGTAATCTCGTGAGTGTCAGGGTCAGGATTTGAACCCGAGCAGTCATAGACACAGTGGATTGTTTGCAGTTTCAAGCCTCAGTGGTCAATTTCATTGCTACTAAGGGGTGCTATGATTGTCTGACTCTCCCCAGCTCTCTCCTTACAGGGTCAAAGTTTCCACCTTAGAAATCCATGTGTTTGAATAACATGCTGGAATTCCTTAGGGCAAAAATTTTTAGAGACAGTTCTCCTAAACCCCTTGTCTGCCACTTGATAACTATGTGACTTTTCATTCCTCATCTATAATGTCGGTATGACAACATCTACCTCGCTGGATTATTGGAGGATTAAATAAGATGAATTGTATCCACTTTTTAGTAGAACCCCTGGCTCACAGTAAATATTCAATAAGCAATGTCTGCTATCATCAGCTATCATTGCCATCATCAATATTATTAACATCATTATTAACATTATCATCATAATTTCTTTCCTATCGACCACTTTTTAAATGTAAAATCCTACAGAAGGGGTAATACATTATTCATGGGGCTAGTGACTCATTGGTTGTTTTTCTCCTGACAGGAGAGAGCAGAGGTAGTAAAGCTCAGGGAAGGAAAAGGAGATATGGAAAAGAGAGGTGGGAGACCCTGAAGACAGAGTTTTACCTCCAGCTAGTTGGGATAGGTTTACAGAACAGTTCATTTGAAGTCCAGTGCTCTTCTATGGGATCCTGTAATCCTTATCAGGTTTCCAGAGGGTCTGTTAGGGAGTGGAGAAGACCACTATTCCCAGGCCGTGGAGACAGGCTGTCGCTGTCCGAGGAGTCCCACGCACCATGGCCACCTGCCTGTCCAGACTGCAGCGGGGGAAGAGGGCAAACAACCTGTAACGAATTCTCTGTTTACTGTGCCTGGAAACAGGCCTTTTGCCATGGAAAGTTTTCTCACTGTACCCATAGGTACAGGGTACATATTACGCAATACGGAACATCTTATTAAGACTTCTTCCTAACCTGTGTGCATGCTGTGCTTCAAGCCTAGGGCTGAGCGCCAGTTCTGAGGTGTCATTCCACTTTTTACTCAGGGGTAAGGTCTAAAGGTGGCTTGCAGGAGCATCCTTACACAGATCACAGATACCTGAAGTCTTCGTGTTTTATGCTACCAACTTCTCCTCAGGTCCACGTACTCTTTATTTTTCAGTATTTTATTTCACACTTTTCATTGTTATGACAACAACGTAAGCACTCTTTTGCTTATGTTCAGTGAAAAGTATATCTCATTCCCGTCCCCGTCCCCAGTGCCACAGCCCAGAAGTAACCACTGTCCATTCATTCATTCAGAAAACATGGTGGAGTGCCTTCTCTGCAGCAGGCACTGTCCTGGATGCTTAGAGCCGAGTAGCAAACAGACAGGTAAGATCCCTGCCTTCTAGTAGGAGTTGATGGGCCATGAAGAAGATACAAAAGCAAATTATCATATAGAATATTAGAAAGTGATAAATGCTGCAAACAGAAACAAGCAAGGGAGAGGGATAGAGTGATATTTGCACAAGGAAAGAGGGAAGGAGCTATCATGAGGAATATTCCAGACAGAGGGAAAGCACGCTCTATAGCAAGGTTGGCATGCTGTCAGGACAGGGTTTTAAATATTTATTTACTTTTATTTATAAAACACTTATAAAGTATCTACCACAGGTCAGGCATTCTCCTGAGCACTTTATATATGTTAATTCTGTTAATCCTCGCCACAAGCCCAGGCACTCTTATCATCCTCACTGTAAAGGGGAACTGAGCCACAGAAGAGTTAGGAAAGTTGCCCAGGTCATAAAGCTAGTGAGTAGTGAGACCTGGACTTTTACACAGCCTGGCTCATGTCTTAACTGCTGCACTCTCCTGCCACACGGTAGGCAGGTGGCACTGGAGACGTGTGGGGCCATCCTGAGGGTGAGATGGGGGTGATGGGAGAGCCTTGAACAGAAGAGTGACAGGTACATTCTTTCAGAAAATTCTGACATATGTACATGCATTTATATGTACATGTGTGTGTGTCCTTGAGGTTTGTGCTCTCTTAGTAGTTAATATGCTTAATGTTAAAATGTAAAACAATTTTAATTTAAGAGGAAGGAGAGAAAAGATGATATTATGTGTGCTGTAGTTAAAGATGATATCCTATCAAATAATACTTTGGGCACAGGTGATCTCTTCTATTTTTAAAGTCTTACAAATACTTCTGTATTCTGGGGATTTGGCAGTACTTGTGTATCTGACCATGCTTCCCTAGGACAACAAATCAACTTTCTTTTTTTAACAATTCAGTGGTTTTTAGTATGTTCACAGTGCTGTACAACCATTGCCATTATCCAATTCCAGGATATTTCCAGCATCCCAAAAGAAACTCCATACCTGTTAGCAGTCACTCTCAATTCTCCCCTCCCCACAGCCCCTGGAAACCACTAATCTATTTTCTGTCTCTATGGATTTGCCCATTATGGGTGTTTCATGTAAATAGAATCATGCAATATGTGGCCTTTTGTGTCTGGCTTTCACTGAGCATCATGTTTTCATGGTTCGTCCATGCTGTAGCTTGAATTAGTACCACATTCCTTTTTATTACCAAATAATATTCCATTGTATGGATTTATCACATTTTGTTTATCCATTCATCAGTTGATGGACATTTGGGTTGTTTCCACTTCTTGGCTGTTATGAATAATGCTGCTGTGTACATTTGTTTACAAGTTTTGTGTCAACATGTTTGCAATTCTCTTGGGTATACCAGTGGAATTGATGGGTCATATTCCAACTATATGTTTAATTTATCAAACCAACTTTTGAGCACAGTGTATTGCAAAGCACCTCAATCCTTATAAGGGGAAAATTATAGGAGCAAGTGGTTGCTTTAGCAAATGTCCTATCCTGTCCCATTTATATGAGAAGGTGGCAGATTAGTGGTGGTGCCTATTTCTTGGGGTTTAATGTCTCAGTATCTAAAGGTCATTGGCACTCAGTGGATATATTCTCCATGTAGATCCCACTTTTTGTGGCCCTCTCCTGACAATAGTTGGGGGTGGCCACGAGGAAGTGGTCTTTGAAGTAACTGAAAGGCTCAGCTTGAGTAACCTAGTCCATCCAGGTACTCCTAAGAGCATCATAGCCAGGTCCAGTCTCTCCTGGAGAAGTGAAGGCTTTGGGAAGATTACAAAGTTCTCTAAGAATATTAAGGATAATAAAGGAAGCCCCAACACTTTAGCATTCACTACATTCCTAGCATAATGCTAAATGCTTTACAGCTTTTTTCTAGACCTGAACTTTCCACTGTGGTAGCCACTGGCCACAGGTGGCTATTAAGGGTTTAAAATATGGTTAGTTTGAGTTGAGTCAAACCGTACGTGTGAAATACACATTGGTGGGCTTCCCTGGTGGAGCAGTGGTTAAGAATATGCCTGCCAATGCAGGGAACACGGGTTCGAGCCCAGGTCCGGGAAGATCCCACATGCCGCGGAGCAACTAAGCCCATGCACCACAACTACTGAGCCCGCGTCCCACAGCTACTGAGCCCGCATGCCTAGAGCCCATGCTATGTAACAAGAGAAGCCACCGCAATGAGAAGCCCAGGCACCGCAATGAAGACCCAACCCAGCCAAAAATAAATAAATTAAAAAAAAAAGAAAAACACATTGGATTTTGATGACTTAGTACAAAAAAGGGAATATAAAATATCTCACTAATTTTTTTTTTTGTGGTACGCGGGCCTCTCACCGCCGTGGCCTCTCCCGTTGCGGAGCACAGGCTCCGGACGCGCAGGCTCAGCGGCCATGGCTCACGGGCCCAGCCGCTCCGCGGCATGTGGGATCTTCCCGGACCGGAGCACGAACCCGTGTCCCCTGCATCGGCAGGCGGACTCTCAACCACTGCGCCACCAGGGAAGCCCCTCACTGATATTTTTTCCATGTTGAGATGATATTTTGGATGTGTTGAGTAAACTGCGTTACTAAAATCAATTGCACCTGTTTCCTTTTACCTTTCTTAACGGGGCTCCTAGGAAATTTAAAATTACGTATACGACTCACCTTTGCAGCTTGCGCTTTATTTCTATTGGATACCACTTGTTCTAGACTGTTCTTCATAGTAATTTGATCAGCTGGACTGTATTATCATCCCCACATTATGGGTGAGCAAATGGAGGCTTAGAGAACTTAAGTAAATTGCCTGTGATACAGCTGTAGCTTAAGCACTAATCTGTCTCTAAGCCTGAATTCTTACCCATTATTCTGTGCTGTCTCCCCGGAGTCCAGAAATATAACCCATGTGATACAGAAATGGTCATGATCATTAGCTATGGCAAAAAGCTGTTTTCACGTCTCCATTGTGGAGCACAAGAAAAATTGTCCGTGTCATTCTTTAAGGTAGAATTCAGGTTGTAGCTGGGGAAAATTGCCTATGGGAAAGTTTCTGAAATACTAGTTCTTTGTTTGTAACAGTTTGGGGCTTACTTGCCAAGGATAGAAGGTAGATGAAACTACTTCAGAGGTTACTTTCATTTCTATGATCCTATATTACAATTCATGTCATATTCACAGGTCAGTCACTGCTGTAATGCTCCGAGTGAGATGGAGTAGAGGGAGATGAATTAGTGCTTCAGTTTCATCCTTTTTTTCCTGTAAAATGTAAGGCTTTAATTTTATCCCATTTCATTTGTATTTGTGAAAACCTCAATGGGACATTCTTCATAGCAATGCTACCGCCTTCTAAGTTACAATGACGAGAAGGTGGCAAAACACCTTCTTAGTTTAGGAGAGAAAGAGTCACTCCATTTCCTTCCCCTCACCCCCACCTTAAACCATTCTCTAACATATGTGTTTTAACTCAGTCAAATCTTCCTTTTCTTAAGACATCAGTGTTCATCACTCAAAAATAATTTTCATGTGTGCATATTAATACTAGCTATTGCTATATTGTGAATACTATAACTTAATTTTACTCTCATTTTACATATACTTGTGTATAACATGTATCATGAGTATAATTCACTTATTTAATTTCAAATACCAAAGGGGAAGCCCAGTTTAGAACACTAGTTCCTTAAAATATTTTTTCAAGATGGGAAGGCAAGGGAAGGATTGGGATAGTTAGGAATTATGCTTCGTCTCAGGGTCTCGTCCCAAATATTTAAACCCTCTCATATTTTTAGGGGCTAGAAATGTTGCTGTCATCCATTAAGCAAAATCACACACACTTTTTTCTTTTGTTCCCAGACTACAAATTTATAGCATACCAAGAAACATGGCAACTTGACTCCTAAAATATTAAGCACAGCTCAAAAATCAAACCCTAAGAAGCTAAAAAAAGTCTCTAGATCTGTATGCACCATGTTTTGTTTTGTTTTTTAATTCAGAGTCAAAATTTTAGTGCCTCTAAATTAGATTCACTTTGGCTTAAATAGCTACATGGAAAATAAATTTCAGCATTTGTTTTCTGTTTAGTCATCCTTCCTTAAAATTCCTTAGCGGTTTCAAATGTACTTCAGATGGGATGACAATGAACCATAGAGAAGTCTGAAAGATAGAATGGTATTGGGAAAGGAATATGGAGCTGGGAATCAGATGACCTGAATTCTAGTTCTGTTTCAACAACAAGGCTTTTAGGTATTTAAGTTCCACAACATTTAATGGACACCTACTAAGGTCAAGGCATTGTAATAAGCGCTGTAGGGGTTACAAGGATAAACAAGACATGGAACTTACCATCTAGTAGGAAAGAAAGCATATTCACAAAACTATGGTATTATATGATACTGAATGTGTGGATAATGGAGTAGAATTTATGGGAGCACAGAGGAAATAAGCATA